GTGCTGTGAGAGAGAGAGATGGCACACCATCACTCAGTTCAGTCGTCTGTGGGCCTCGGTGAGAGAGAGAGATGACACACCATCACTCAATTCAGTCGTCTGTGGGCCTCGCCGCACCGCGCACGAAACGAAAAACCGGCAGAAAATGACCAGGTTCTTCAGTTTGCTAAACATAGTAACGACTTACGAGTGTATTTTTGCACCTTTCGTGGGCAGATGCACTCGTTTCGTTTTCATTTTCGTGCGAAACGAAACGAGTGCATMTGGCCACAAAAGATGCAAAAATACACTCGTTAGTATGTATAGCAAACTGACGAACCTGGTCATTTTCTGCCGGAAGATGCGCTCGTTTTTCGTATCGTGCGCAATGCGGCGAGGCCCTGTTTCTGATTATTTCAAAAACTGTGGCTACCGCTACCCGCCAGAGCAAGTCCTGTCAGAAACCAAAAACGGGAGGGCCTGCTACCGGTACCCTCTCCCAGGCCAGGCCAGGCCACGAGGTAAAAAAAAAAAAAAGGCTACGCGGTACCACTGGCCCAGACCACCTCCCGTTTTTGCCGATTATCGAACAGGTAGGCCGTCTAAAGTGCAGTTCTCTGTTTTTTTTGTTTTTTCGAACTGCTCACGGCCCAATCTTGCAGTGGACTGTTATTTTTGCGAATGTTGAACTGTGCAGCAGTCACCGGCGCAGTTGTCTCTTTTTTCTTTCTTTCTTTTTTGTTCGGGTAGAGCTTTGGGTGGCGGGATCATAGTAACTCAGTAGAGAAATCGGTGGACATCATGTTCTTGCAGGAAACGAAGCTCTCAGAAGGGAAGTTGGCACAGTTAAAAGATTGGTGGGACAACCCCCAATTATGGTCGCCGGCGAAAGGATCGAAAGGGGGTACAACTATCCTAGTGCACAACAGATTAGACGCAGAGTTAGTTGACTATGACGCTGATATGTGGGGGAGGTGGGTGTGGCTCAAGCTGCGATGCGAAGGGTTAGAGGTGGTGGTGGCCACGGTCTACGTTCCGAACGAACCCAGAGATAGAGCCAATTTTTTCGAAGCTCTACCGTACTGCTTGCRGAAGGCAGAGCACATGATTGTAGGGGGAGATTGGAATCAGGTGCTYTGCCCAGGATTGGACTCGGAACTGGTGGAAGGCATGCGAAGGGACAGGGAAGTCCTTTTGAAATGGAGGGAAGCATGGGGTCTTCAAGACATTTTTAGAACAATGCATCTTACCAGCTCTGGATACACCTCGTTCGCAAACACCTCCAATGTGGCCGGAGCTATGCGCAGGTTGGACTTTTTCTTAACAGCAGGTATCTTCTYTGACGGAGCCCAGGACGTTGGAGAGCAGAATGCGTCCATGTCCGATCAAAAACCCGTAATCCGGGAGGTACAGTTGTTTGGTCAGAACACAAGAGGGCCAGGGTTTTTCAAGCTGAACGTCCAGAACTTAGAGGATGAGGGCTGACGAGAGTGGGTAGAAAAATTTTGGCAAGACTGGAAGACCGCGGAAGGGGACTTCGAGGAATACAAAGAATGGTGGGATGCGGGTCTGAGAATCATCTCGGCGAAGTTCGAAGTCTACTCGAGGATAGCTGCATTCAGCAGAAACAAGGAGGAGGCGGATTGTCGCAGAAAGGTGGATGAAGTGGAAAAAAGAATGGGGGAGCATCCCATTTCGGACTGGGTGTGGGCGGAGGAAAGGTCTCAGAGGTTGAGCGAATGGGAACAGCTCCAGGTGGGGAAACAAACAAGATGGCAATAAATCTTGAAGGAGAGGGGATTGTCAGCAACGACAGAATGACTCAGCTCAAACTGTTCTGACAAAACGCYGTTGACTTGTACCACCGCTGTTGAGAAGGCATACAGTGATTTCACCCACCGACTGAACGGCTCACCAAATCCCAGGACTTTGAGGGTCGTCATGACGAAGGTCCAATTGACCCTGTCATATGCTTTCTCGAGGTCAATTAGTAGTGCCGCCATATCCAAATTCTCCTTGCCAATGATCTCCAACGCCTCCACCGCTGTTAAAATATTTTTGAAAATTGAGCGCCCCTGCACAAATGCATCCTGATCCTTGCCTACCARTCCTGGCAAAAAAATTCCCAACCTTCTGGATAGAGTCTTCGCGAGGATTTTGTAGATGACGTTCAACAGCGAGATCGGTCTCCAGYTCCGTATATCGCTCGGGTCGCCCTTCTTGTACAGCAGCGAAATAACTTCGTTCGTCATGGCAATTCCCAGTGATCCCCGGTCAAGATCCCGYTGAACAGGCTCACCACGTCTGCTTCCAGCGTCGACCAACAGRCTTGGAAAAACTCCACTGGGAGACCATCGTCCCCCGGTGCCTTGCCTTYAGCCATTACCCTGAGCGTCTGTCTGAGTTCTTCTTCCGTAATAGGTCTGTCCAGTTCCTGTTTGTCGCTGACTGGGAGGCTGGTCTGCAGCGAGTCCCCAAAGTTGGAGCTTTCTGTCATATCAGTCTCCCAGTTCMAGTAGGTCTTCCTGGTCGTCATGATATCCTTGAAATAGGCGGCCGCATACCCACACATGTCCTYATTGGTGGTTGCCCGTGGTTTGTCCATCAGGTGAGGGTGTTGCAGTTCCCTCATTTGCGTCATCCTCTGTCGTGGAAGCCGTTGGGTCGTCTCCCAGCTCAGGAGKTAAGACTCGAATCACTACTTCAAGCTATCCCAGAGCAATGGAAGCTGTTGTGGGGCCCGGAAGGGGTGARTCCTCRGGGGACCTGGTTTCGGGGCACTATAGGGGAAGAGGAGGGGAAGTTCTATAAGTTGAGAAGCTGGGACGAAGAGGAGCTGGGTAAGTGTCACCTGGAAGAGTTTATTAAATCAGACTCAGAAGGCGACATGATGACCTGCTCCCAATCGATTGTACGACGGGGTTTGGGGGGATTACAGGAAGTTAGGGTGAGGGCATGTCCAACAGGCAGCAGGCAGAGGGAAGAGTCCTTTAAGTTAGTAGCAGGAGGAACCCCAGTACAAGAGCTGAGAATTGATCCTATTCAGTGGGGCTGGAAAGTGGGAGGAGAAGTGGTAAAAGACCTGTGCAACCTAAGCCCAGCGCTAGTCACCAGAAGAAGAGCAGGGAGGAGGAAGCTGATGGATAAACTGATCCCCCGCTGGGAAAAGGCTCAGCCTTGCCTCCCAGCACCAACGGGCATGCAGTTTACCCGGCTGTGGAAGCAGCTAGCAGACATTCCGTCACAAAAGATCGCATCCCTGTTATGGCTGCAGTCTCATCTATCGGTCCCAACAGCTAAATGGCTAAGAAACAGAGGAATGCAAGTAAGATTGGACTGTGACAGATGTGCGTGGCCTGTTGAGACAATGACTCACATGTGGTGGGACTGCCCCCGCTCGAGGAAGTGGTGGACATGGTGGCTTAGGCATTGGGAGAAGATGTCAGGAAGAAAAGTGGACCAGGACATGGCGTGGGCCATACAAGGCTTTCTGGGCCACGGGGAGAKRGGGGACAAGGGTTGGGGGTACATAGCCCAGGTCAGTCGGGCAGTGATGATGTGGGTTATCTGGTTGGACAGAAATGGCAGAAGGTTTCAAAACGAGGGGCTGTCGGAAGTTCAGGCAGAGAAACTGTTCAAATCGATGCTGAAAACGGAAATCAGAGCGGATTGGAGAAAGAGAGTAGCGCWGGGGAACAGGCTGGCTGGCCTGAGGTGGTTCTATGAGACCTGGGCAGCACCAGGCGCCCTGGCAGAGGTAAGAGATGGGAAGCTGGAAACGGCTGCTTGGTTGGACAGATAAATCCAGGGGAAGAGGAGAGGTATCGCAGAGTTCCCAGGTTCAGGGAGGGGAGAGGTAGTGGTCAGGTAGGTAAGGGAGAGGGGAGGTTCAAGTAGGCCTACTAGAGACAGACAGAGTGGCTTGGGTACGGGTTAGCACTTAGGGGGGAGTAGTAGGGGTAGCAGCCTGGGCCCGCGGCTGCGATAAAGGGTCTGGTCGCAGTAGACACAAGGGGCCAGGGACCGTTAGTTAACGAGGAACTTGGTTCCATCGGCCGTTTTAGGCGGAGGTCTGGCCGGGTTAGGTCAGGACTAGTTAGGCAATGGGGTAGGAGGCAAGGTAGAATAAGGGGTTAGTAAGGGTAGGTAGGCCGGATAGGGATGGGATAGGRCTGGGGGAGTTAGGAGGCTTCTGGTCAATAATAGGTTCTTGCATATGTTCATGAAGTTGGCACATAATTGGACGACGATAAGCTAAACCGGCTGATGCTGTAGGGATAACTCCGGGTGGARTTGTGAGATCCCCGGCCTCAGCTCATTGTTTGATGAATGAAGTTTTCGTTTGTGAAAAAAARAMAARMAAAAAAAAGAGTAACTCAGTAGGGTGCACGTTCGCATACACTCGACACCGCACGTTCCTCTGTTCAGTGTGTCTGCGCCTGTGTGCAAGAACGGGATCTCTTGGTGAATCTCGAAACGGCACGTTCACACATCCCCGCTGGTTCACACACGTAAATTGATGAATTTTATGTAATATTGGAAACAGCCTGAGAAAGATAATGACGATCTCGACAACTGGCAGTATCCTCTGTCCTGGGACTGGGCGACGTTTCGGACAGTCGACCTGCCTTGGCGCCTACAACTGTAGTGCTTGGCAATCGCAGCTTGTTCATACCGGGCCCCAGGGCGCAGCGATCACGGTCCTGCCTCTTCTCCTCCTCCATACTCTCTCCTCTCCCTCTCCTCATTCGTTGCTACGACGTTGTACTCAAACCGGGCCGATCCTGGGAGAAAAGCACTTGCCCGTGCATGACCGTGTAGTGCAACGGGAGGCAATTGAGGGCCAGGTCGAGCTTGTAACCCTTCGGCGGCATCGCCCGTTTTGAGTAAGCACGATCCATGGGGGTAGCTGATTGTACGTGCTCCGTGACAGGAGGAAGGAAGACGGCGAGCAGTCTCAGTACGTCCCCATAATCGAAAGCTTAGGTTATATCGTACTAGACAAGCCGGCGTGAGGTTGGGAGCTCATCCTCACGAGCAATTGCCCATGCGCCGTCGTCTAGTCGGCGTGGTCAATCAGGCAGAGTATAATCTAACAGTTGACGTCACCAGGTACGATAGCCGACGAAAGGGGGTGCAAGCAGTGTGCAACCCCTCGAGCCCAACCAGACAGGACGGAAGGAAGAACAGAACAGAGAAACAAAAGACAACGAGCCAGGAGCATAAGATAGGAATGAGGAAGGGAGRRAGGGAGGAAAGGTGGGTTACGAAAAAGGGAGGGAGGAACGAAGAAAACGAGGAAGATGGAGGGAATCGGCAGGTAATATGATCCCTTAAATGACAGAGCAAGGGAGAGGAAAAGAACCAGTAAAAAGAGGGAGAAGAGGAGGAAGGAGGGAGAGAAGAAAACGAGGGAGGAGAGCAGGAAGGAAGTAAGGAGAGAAGGAATAAAGGAYTTRAGAGAACTAGAGAGACCTGAAGACATGGTGTTGACCCCTACTCCWGTCAGTGTACATAGGTCCATCGCCTCTGCGATGCGCAAGCCCTCTTGTCCTGGCAGCAATGGCGCGCGATGCGTCGTGTTCGCTCTGCTTGGACAGATAGCTTTGTCAATTCTGGTCATCAGACTCATTTCTATTGGCTCGGAGCGCTCGTACTATGCAATAGAACAAGGAGGTAGGTTTAGGATCCGGGAGGCGACCCTGTCTTCCTCTGCCGCAGTGATTGCGAATGGACGACCAGGGGAAGGCCCAGGGGGAGATAACATGCATGCTCGTCGTTCTGCCCTCAACGAAGGGCCACTCGTTGACGACTGCATGGGCGCCTCCTCTCTTGACGAACTCCTCGAGTGTCGGTCTGTTAATAACTCCGTCGTTCTCTCTCTCTCCACCTCTAGTTACGTGGAACTAGCCGTTAATTGGGCGTGTCACTGGCATCGCATACAATGGAGGAACACGATTGTTCAGGCCGTTGATCGAAGGACCTATCGAATGCTGCGAGAAATGGGTGTCGATGCCTTCTTCTTCGGYTACGATGCCTTACTTACTCGTTTGCGAACCAACGGTCCATGGGAGAATCGGCTGCTGTCAGTTCTTAATGCCATTGGCGATGGCGTTAGAGTGCCGTCTCTCGACGTGCTGGAAAGCGGCGAAGGACGACTTCCCCGTTCTCGTCGACGTGCAGGTAGTGAGCGTGGCGGCGATGGCGACCGGAAGGGTGGCTATGGCCGAGAAGAGGAGGTCCTGGACGAGAAGCTAGTAGGAGATAACAAAGAAGGACGAGTAGAGGATGAAGCACAGCGGGAGGAACGCTTCCTCCAAGTCTATTACACTTTGTACAAGGCTTTGTTCGTAGAGAGAGTACTAAGCAAAGGTTACGACGTGTTTGTGTCCGATCTCGACGCCGTGGTTCTGAGAGATCCCAGTCTCTTTCTCGACTCCGGTCTCGATCTCCAAGGTCTCACACAACCGTCCCTTTCTGGGTGTGATCAGTTGCTGTCCGATGCTTTTCTGTTCATACGAGCGTCGACTGGTGCGACGACGCTGTGGAGGAAAGCTGTGCTCGAATACGCGTGGAAATCGTTGTCCATGCGAATTAAATCAGACAGACCAGGTCCTTCGAATGAAGAACTAAGAAGGAATGGAACGGGGACAAGAACGTCAGTGTCAAGGTTGACTGGTGACTCATCTGCTCATGTCGCTGGTGCAAGAATGSTGCTGAGCAGGGTTTTACCGTCAGCATCTTCAAGCTGCTCAACAGCCTCCTCCTCCCCSTCCTCCTCCTCCTCCTCCTCCTCGTCCTCTGGCTCCAACTTGTTATTGTCGCCACCTCGCTATCGTCGCTCTCCTGAGTCTCCTCCATCCTCTACACCACGTACTGACCAAGCACAACATAATGTYGATGCCAGCGGGTCGGGGAGTGTGGAGACGGTAAGGAGGAAGCTAGCAGCAGCAATGCCATTAGCCGTTGTAGCAGAAAGGCCGGGTTTGGCTCCAGCGAAGCCGGCTTTCGCTCCGCAGACGACGGTTCGATCCCTGTCGGAGCCAAGAAGATTGGATTCAGCAGCTGCTTCAAGCAAGAGCGAGAAAGGTAGGGAGGCGTCAACGTTGATCCAGAACCCGGCAATGGCACCGAGCGTCGGTGACAGGGATAACAAGTCCATAGCTGCAGCAGCGTATTCGAAGACGTCGGGAAGCACTTCCGGACTGAGAACGGAGCAACGGCCGCCGGCATTCGTGGCTACAATAGGTGCAGGGACCGAGCCGCCTCCTGCCCTGCCTAAGCGTTGGAGGCGACATCGGGCTTTGTCGAAAGTGATTACGAATGGGAAATGGCAGCTGCCCAAGGAGTTGAGACGAAAGGCCACAGAAAACAAGGAAGAGTCGATCGTTTCGATGCACGGAGTGAGATGGGGACGTTTGCGGTCGAATCTGAGCACAAGCGGTCAGGACTTCTTCGTGGCGGAGATTCCTCAGCAGAGAGGAGAATGGCCGATTGTGGTGCACGTGGACCATGTTCGAGGGGCCGCGATGAAGAGGGACCGGATGGTCAGGGCAAGCCTGTGGGCCGTAGATAGGGACCGACGCACCTGCACGCCGTTGGGAGCAGAAATGCTGCCGCCGCCAAAAGAGCTTACCGAACCCCGGTTCAGATTCATTGTTTTGACCTTCGACCGACCCGACTCTCTGTCCGACCTGCTCGATTCCCTGGCAGCCGCCGACTACACGGCCTTACCTCCAGACGTTCATAGCGATGGTAATAGCGATGGCGATGGCGATGGCGGCGACCACAGTCGTTCTCCAACCGGCACCAACTCTTTCAGATCGCAGACGTTATCATCAAGAAGAAGAACAACATTATCTTCATCGACAGCAGCAGGACGACGAATGGGGGGAGGAGGAGGAGGAGGAGGAGAACCGGAAGCTGCTTTGCTGAATGCAACAGTGGCGCTCGACATTTTTCTGGACTATCCTGTGGCGACGGTGCTAGAGGATGAAGAAGGGGAAACAATGCGGGCGTGGAAGGCTTGCCTGAGGTTGGCGGAGTCGTTCGTGTGGCCTTACGGTCCGAAACGAGTGATTGCCAGGCAAGAGCACATGGGATTGATTGGCCAGTGGGTGTCTGTCTGGACTCCAGATCCTGACAGCGCCGAGATAGCTGTGATTATGGAAGATGATCATATTGTGTCGACCAAGTTCTTCGCTTGGCTTCAAGCCGCTGTTCGTCAGTACTTCGTCCGTACGTACGACCCAAGACTGTACGGAATTTCGATGGAGTATCAGCATCAGATTCTGGGCAGAAGCGTGTATGGCAGACCGGTGTCGGATTTCGTACCGAATTCCACCGTCTTTTATCGTGGCCAGCTGGTCAGTACATGGTGTCCAGTCTTCTTCCCTCGGCACTGGGATGCTTTCCTAAAATGGCGAGCGGAGGTGATCAAGGACCCGGCTTTCTTGCCGTTCTTCAGCGATATGATGACTAACTACTTCCACACTCATGGACAGGTATGGAGCTCCTGGATAACGAGGTTCGTGGGGGAGAGAGGGTATTACTCTCTCAACACCAACTTCAAGGACCACCGGGGCTTGGTGGTCAACGTCAGAGCGAGGGGTGCTCATTTCAATGTGACCAAAGGACCCGCCTCTCCGAGTTACGAAGGTGACCTCGAGCCTTACATGCTGAATTTCCCTCCCATCGAAAAGCTTCCGCTATATGATTTCCATATGAACCTTGTCAGGGATCACCCGTCTGTTCTAGAGGGCAGAGCGAACTACACGGACATATATAATGTCGACTTGAATGATGGCAGCATGACGGAATAACACCAGTTAGGAAATGAAGAACAGCAAGTTACTGCCGTTCTTTTTTTTCTTTCCCTTCTCCCTATTACGTCCGCTAGGCGTTGTTTCCATGGCCCCGTAGTTGCTGCTGCTGCTGCTGCCGTTGTTGTTGTAGTCGTCGTCATCCTCATCATCATCGTTGCTGCTGCTGCTGCTGCTG